TTTGCATTTTCATAGTAAAAATCATTTCCAATGCATTTTCATAGTAAAAATCATTTCATTTTCATAATAAAAATCATTTCCAATGCATTTTCATAAGTAAAAATCATTTCCAATGCATTTTCAAAAAAAATCATTTCCAATGCAAAAAAATGCATTTTCATAAAAAAAATCATTTCATTTCAATGCATTTTCATAGTAAAAATCATTTCCAATGCATTTTCAAAAATCATTTCCAATGCATTTTCATTTCAATGCAAAATGCATTTTCATATCATTTCAATGCATTTTCATAGTAAAAATGCATTTTCATAGTAAAAATCAATTTTCATAAAAAATCATTTCCAATGCATTTTCATAGTAAAAATCATTTCAATGCATTTTCAATAAAAATCATTTCCAATGCATTTTCATAGTAAAAATCATTTCAAATGCATTTTCATAGTAAAAATCATTTCCAATGCATTTTCATAGTAAAAATCATTTCCAATGCATTTTCATAGTAAAATCATTTCCAATGCATTTTCATAGTAAAATCATTTCAATGCATTTTCATAGTAAAAATCATTTCCAATGCATTTTCATAGTAAAAATCATTTCAATGCATTTTCATAGTAAAAATCATTTCAATGTAAAAAATCATTTCCAATGCATTTTCATAGTAAAAATCATTTCCAATGCATTTTCATAGTAAAAATCATTTCCAATGCATTTTCATAGTAAAATCATTTCCAATGCATTTTCATAGTAAAAATTTTCATTTTTCAATTTTTCATAGTAAAAAATCATTTCAAATGCATTTTCATAGTAAAAATCATTTCCAATGCATTTTCATAAAAAATCATCAATTTTTCAATGCAAAATTTTCAATGCATTTTCATAAAAAATCATTTCCAATGCATTTTCATAGTAAAAATCATTTCCAATGCATTTTCATAGTAAAATCATTTCCAATGCATTTTCATAGTAAAAATCATTTCCAATGCATTTTCATAGTAAAAATCATTTCATTTTCATAGTAAAAATCATTTCCAATGCATTTTCATAGTAAAAATCATTTCAATGCATTTTCATAGTAAAAATCATTTTGCATTTTCATAGTAAAAATCATTTCAATGCATTTTCATAGTAAAAATCATTTCCAATGCATTTTCATAGTAAAAATCATTTCCAATGCATTTTCATAGTAAAAATTTTCATAGTAAAATTCCATTTTTCATAAAAAATCATCTCCAATGCATTTTCATAGTAAAATCATTTCCAATGCATTTTCATAGTAAAAATCATTTCAATGCATTTTCATAGTAAAAATCATTTCCAATGCATTTTCATAGTAAAAATCATTTCCAATGCATTTTCATAGTAAAATCATTTCCAATGCATTTTCATAGTAAAAATCATTTTGCATTTTCAAAAAATCATTTCCAATGCATTTTCATTAAAAATCATTTCCAATGCATTTTCATAGTAAAAATCATTTCAATGCATTTCAATGCATTTTCATAGTAAAAATCATTTCCAATGCATTTTCATAGTAAAATCATTTCAATGCATTTCATAAAAAATCATTTCAATGCATTTTCATAGTAAAAATCATTTCCAATGCATTTTCATAGTAAAATCATTTCCAATGCATTTTCATAGTAAAATCATTTCAATGCATTTTCAAAAAAATCATTTCCAATGCATTTTCATTTCCAATGCATTTTCATAAAAATCATTGGACAATTTTTCATAGTAAAATCATTTCAAATGCATTTTCATAGTAAAAATCATTTCCAATGCATTTTCAGTAAAATCATTTCCAATAAAAAAAAATTTCCAATGCATTTTCATAGTAAAAATCATTTTTGCAATGCATTTTCATAGTAAAAAATCATTTCCAATGCATTTTCATAGTAAAAAATCATTTCAATGCATTTTCATAGTAAAAATCATTTCAATGCATTTTCATAGTAAAAATCATTTCAATGCATTTTCATAATAAAATCATTTCCAATGTAGTAAAATCATTTTCATAGTAATGCATTTTTGCATCATAAAAAAATCATTTCCAATGCATTTTCATAGTAAAAAATCATTTCCAATGCATTTTCATAGTAAAAATCAAAAATCATTTCAATGCATTTTCATAGTAAAAATCATTTCCAATGCATTTTTCATAGTAAAAATCATTTCCAATGCATTTTCATAATCATAAATGACAATGCATTTTCATAAAAATCATTTCATTTTCATAGTAAAAAATCATTTCAATGCATTTTCATAATAAAATCATTTTCCAATGCATTTTCATAGTAAAAATCATTTCCAATGCATTTTCATAGTAAAAATCATTTCCAATGCATTTTCATAGTAAAAATCATTTCCAATCATTTTCAAATGCATTTTCATATTAAAAAATCATTTCAATGCATTTTCATAGTAAAAATCATTTCCAATGCATTTTCATAGTAAAAATCATTTCCAATGCATTTTCATAGTAAAAATCATTTTTTCAATGCATTTTCATAGTAAAATCATTTCAATGCATTTTCATAGTAAAAATCATTTCCAATGCATTTTCATAGTAAAAAATCATTTCCAATGCATTTTCATAGTAAAAAATTTTTCAATGCAAATTCATAGTAAAATCATTTCCAATGCAAAATTTTCATAGTAAAAATCATTTCAATGCATTTTCATAGTAAAATCAAATGCATTTTCAAGTAAAATTTTCAATGCATTTTCATAGTAAAAATCATTTTTTTCATAGTAAAATCATTTCATTTCATAGTAAAAATTTCCATTTAAAAATTTTCCAATGTATTTTCATAAAATCATTTCCAATGCATTTTCATAGTAAAAATTGGCCAATGCATTTCCAATGCATTTTTTCATAGTAAAAATCATTTCAATGCATTTTCATAAATCATTTCCAAAAAAAAATCATTTCCAATGCATTTTCATAGTAAAAATCATTTCCAATGCATTTTCATAGTAAAAAATCATTTCCAATGCATTTTCATAGTAAAAATCATTTTAATGCATTTTCATAGTAAAATGCATTTCATAGTGCAAAATCATTTCAATGCATTTTCATAGTAAAAATCATTTCCAATGCATTTTCATAGTAAAAATCATTTCCAATGCATTTTCATAGTAAAAATCATTTCCAATGCATTTTCATAGTAAAAATCATTTCCAATGCATTTTCATAGTAAAAATCATTTCCAATGCATTTTCATAGTAAATGCATTTTCATAGTAAAAAATTTCCAATGTATTTTCATAGTAAAAATCAAATGCATTTTCATAGTAAAAATCATTTCCAATGCAATTTCATTTTCATAGTAAAAAAATCATTTCAATGCATTTTCATAGTAAAAATCATTTTTTCCAATGCAAAAATTTTCAAATCATTTCCAAAAATAGTAAAATCATTTCCAATGCATTTTCATAGTAAAATCATTTTTCTGAAATCATTTCCAATGCATTTTCATAGTAAAAATCATTTCCAATGCATTTTCATTTTCAAAAATAAAAATCATTTTTTCCAATGCATTTTCATAGTGCATTTTCATAGTAAAAATCATTTCCAATGCATTTTCATAAAAATCATTTCCAATGCATTTTCATAGTAAAAATCATTTCCAATGCATTTTCATAGTAAAAATTTTCATAATAAAATCATTTCAATGCATTTTTTTCATAGTAAAATCATTTCCAATGCATTTTCATAGTAAAATCATTTCAATGCATTTCATAAAAATAGTTTCATAGTAAAAAAATCATTTCCAATGCATTTTCATAGTAAAAATCATTTCAATGCATTTTCATAATAACAATAAAAAATCATTGGACAATGCATTTTCATAGTAAAAATTTCATTTCAATGCATTTTCATAGTAAAATCATTTCCAATGCATTTTCATAGTAAAAAATCATGCATCAAATCAATGCATTTTCATAGTAAAAATCATTTCAATGCATTTTCATAGTAAAAATCATTTCCAATGCATTTTCATAGTAAAAATCATTTCAATGCATTTTTTCATAGTAAAAATCATTTCCAATGCATTTTCATAGTAAAATCATTTCCAATGCATTTTCAGTAAAAAATCATTTCAATGCATTTTCATAGTAAAAATCATTTCCAATGCATTTTCATAGTAAAAATCATTTCCAATGCCATAGTATCATTTCAATGCATTTTAGTAAAAATCATTTCCAATGCATTTTCAGTAAAAATCATTTCAATTTTTCATAGTAAAAATCATTTTCAATGCATTTTCATAAAATCATTTCCAATGCATTTCATAAAAAATCAAAAATCATTTCCAATGAATAAAAATTTTCCAATGCATTTTTAAAAATCATTTCCAATGAATTTTAACAGTAAAATCCTTTCAATGAATTTAACAGTTAAATTTCACAAAGCATCAGTTCTTCGGAAGAATGCTTCTTATTAATGAAATACGATGCGAATGGTGAAGATTTGTCCTTGTGTACGTTACCTTACCAGTTCATTTTTAAAGGTCAAGGTCGGTGCGGAGACCAGTCAACGTAGCTCGCGAGATTATATGCCATAGATATAGCGTAGAGTAACGAGCGGCAAGTGATGTTTCACCTATGGGAAAAGAGTTTGTAAGATGGAAAGTCATTCATCACCCGCAAGGATGCGTAGATGCTTTTGGACTCTATCAAGAATGGCAAGTTAGGACTGGGCAGCTCCCCGCCCTCCAATCCTTCATTTTGCGTTATTCTATAAAACGAAAAAAATCGAAAGCATTTCAAAAGAAGAATTTGATTACATCTTCTATTTGCACGAAATGAAAAGAAATGAATTAAGAAAAAAGAAAGAAAAGAAAACCTAATGAAGTTGGGTAAAATTATATGGAAATGTTTTGTTAACGATAATAGAATTCGATTAAATGGAGATGTTGGTTCGTGGATGGGCAATAATCTGTCTTGAAGTTGCAGACATAATTATAGAAGCGAGCGGTTCCATTTTTGCAATATAATTTACAAAGGCCAATCAGGACAATAAAGAAAAGAAAGATGAACATAGAATAATGCCAAAATAGATAGATAGATAGATAGATAGATAGATAGATAGATAGATAGATAGATAGATAGATGTGAAAAGATGGAGATATGCGGTGTCTATAAAAAAATAATTATAATGTCAAAAATAATTACCAAAATATAATTACGGCAATTATAATTATCATTAATTCACACCTTCTAAACCAATGAGAATCGACCCGTTTTCTCCTCTACATACACAAACACGTTACATCCTTACTATCGGACATGCAGTTTACACAGACTGGTCGTTAGCACATGCGTCAATGAAAATTTCATCACTATTTCTTTATCAGGCCATATTAGTAATATTTTTTTAGCACTCAAGAAAAATTCGAGGTAAGAAAACCCCGGACACTTGTATTTTCTAAGTAAATTATCTGTACACTCATTACAAATATCTATAATTTACATATTCTTTAACTTATAATTCTGTCGGATTCCGAGCCATATATGATTTACATTTGGATTCAAACTCAAAATTTAATCAGTATTACTGTCTCTCGTTTACTCAACACCACATACAAAACAAGATAATAAATGATAACCATTTTGTTGTTTCTACGTCTTACTGTTTCCCATTTGTACAAGTAGTTTTTTTTTTATTTACATTTTTTATGTGATTTATAATTATTTATTCTGAGTTAAAGATCCCACAGAGATAGATTGATAGATATATATATGAACATAAGCAGATAGATAGATAGATAGATAGATAGATAGATAGATAGATATAAAAAGTATTGAGATAGATAGATAGATAGATAGATAGATAGATAGATAGATAGATAGATAATAAGAACAGACAAGTATAGATAGATAGATAATGAACAGGCTGAGATAGATAGATAGATAGATAGATAGATAGATAGATAGATAGATAGATAGATAGATAGATTTGAAAAGACGGCTTGAAAAGCTACTAGAGAGATAGATATATGGATATGAAAAGACGGAGATAGATAGATAGATAGATAGATATTCATAGATAATAGATAGATAGATAGATAGATAGATAGATAGATAGATATTCATAGCCTGAGATAGTTGGATAGATAGATATTCATAGCCTGATATTGATAGATAGGTATATAGATAGTTTTGAAAAGACGGCTTGAAAAGCTACTAGAGAAATAGATATATGGATATGAAAAGACGGAGATAGATAGATAGATAGATAGATAGATAGATAGATAGCATTAAAGAAATAAAGCAAGCAAGAAAGAAAGAAGGAAATCAAAAACTAAGAAAGAAAGAAAAGAAAAAATCAAGCAAGCAAGCAAGAAAAAAGAAAGAAAGAAAGAAAGAAAGAAAGAAAGAAGAAAACCTGAAAAAAAAAAGCAAGCATTCAAGAAAGTATAAATTAAGTATGAAAGAAAGAAATCAAGAAAGAAAAATAAAGCAAGAATGAAAAAAAGAAAGACAGGAAGAAAAAAAAGAAAGTTAGTAGCAAAGAACGCAGGAAAGAAAGCAAGAAAGAAAGCAAGAAAAAAGCAAGAAAGAGAGAAAGAAACAAAGAAAAGAACTAAGCAAGTAAACTAGAAAGAAATGATGAAAATACTGAAAAGAAAGGAAAAAAGCAACAAAGCAAGAAATAATGGAACAAAGCAAAAAAGAAATCAAGAAAGCAATAAAAAAAAAGCCAGAAAGCAAAAAAGGAAGCCAGGAAGAATATTTGGAATATTTCATGAGCCTTTTATTCGCGCATTGAATTTTAAATAGGGTATTGAAGATTATTGAAAGTATTTTCAGTATATTTCTCCTCTTCATGTAAATATTAAGGGCTGCAAATTCTGAGTGCTCTTAATTAGAATCCAGTGATCATTCCGGACTTTATTTTGTTGTTATCATGAGAATAGAAATGTATTAGGTCATTTTTGTCTATATTTCTGAGATGAGGTATTATGTACATTATTTACATTATTCGGACTATTGTCCTCATCTTTGTCGCCATATTTATTACAACGTTTCGGCCCTTCAGTATCTGTCTATATTTCTGAGATGAGGTATTATGTACATTATTTACATTATTCGGACTATTGTCCTCATCTTTGTCGCCATATTTATTACAACGTTTCGGCCCTTCAGTATCTGTCTATATTTCTGAGATGAGGTATTATGTACATTATTTACATTATTCGGACTATTGTCCTCATCTTTGTCGCCATATTTATTACAACGTTTCGGCCGTTGTACGCTCCGACCTTCTTCAGGTGGTTGGAATGTCGAACTGAACCCTTTATTTCGCTCACTGGGGTAGACGGTTCTAGTTCCGACAAAGTGCCATTTTTCCGAATGGATGTCAGTTATCATTATCTCCTGCTAATTTCCTCCGAAAGTTCTCCACTGCCTTAACCGGGTTTTTGAACTCACAAAGATTGGGTCCTGTCACTGGATCTAATCAACACCTTTATCCATTGTGCCATGTGTCCTCAAGAATGAAGGCGTTAGTTAGATCCAGTGACAGGACCCAAAGAGTGTGAGTTCAAAAATGTAAATAATGGCAGTGCAGAACTTTCAGAGGGAAATTAACAGGAGATAACTGATAACTGACATCCATCAAAACATGGCACGATGACTAAACAGTCTATCCCAGTGAGTGAAAATAAAGGGTTCAGTTCGAAATTCCAACCACTTGAAGAAGGCCGGAGCGTACAACGGCCGAAACGTTGTGATAAATATGGCGACAAAGATGAGGACAATGGTCCGAATAATGTAGGTCATTTTTATTTGTCGATTTTTAGTGTACACTAAGTTTGAAGCTGCTGTCAATGCGGTGTAACATGATGTCTAGGATAGGTAAAGTACAGTCTACTTCCATTTCATATGTAAACTCTATTTTATGTTCGACTTTGTTTAGTCTATCTATAATTCCGGTAAAGCAGTATCACGGGGATATGTTCATAGAGCATCATCCATATATTAGAAAGAAGTTGATTTTTAGTTAAAATAATTTGAAAATAATCCGATTCGAGAAATTCTATGAAGATACATGCCATCACTAAACTAAGAAGTGATCCCATTGGTAATCCAAATTTTTGTTTATAAAAAAATTATTAAACGCATTAACTGCTTATGAGACGGCAGATTTTTTTGCTCTTGTTAGGGAGAGGTTTATCTTTGACTAGCAGTAGAGCCCGGCAATTCCCGGGGATGTAACAGTAAGAGATAGATCAAGTATCGATCATCATAAAGACTGAAAAATAAAATTGACAAAGATTATTGTTTAAGGTTAACGGACACGCATGTCTCAGTTTTTTTTTTGTTTTTTTGTTTTTTTTACGAATTGGTCAAACCCAAACTCAAACAAAATCATTGTTTTCATTAGTTATGAGTCTATCGATTGAATAGAATTTTATTATAAACAATTGTCTTGTAAATGGAATTTTTAAAGCATTCTGAATGTAAAAATAAAGAAAAAAGTGTGCAAGACAATAAGAAACACTACCTGCCAAAAAAAGTGAAGTTTTGTTGAAATTGGTTGAAAAATGTAGGAAATCCGATCCCATATATAAACACACACACACACACACACACACACACACACACACACACACACACGAACAACCTGGGTCTTATAAGTATAACTCGATATGAGTTGTCCCCCTTACGTGATGCCTCTTAATCGTGTTTTCAAACTGATTTCCTGCAAAAACAATTGTGTTTTTCCAATTTTTGGCGCTGTCAGAACCACCGCAAGGTAATTTTACGTAGACCTGTGAAGATTTGTTGAAATCGGTTGAAAAATGTAGGAAATCCGATCCAATATATAAACGAACAGACACACAACCTGGGTTTTATAATGAGTAAGATTGTGTTTGATATTTTTTTAAAGTGTTTTAAGCATTTTTCAACCGGGGCATTAGTGTAAAGTTATTTTATATCTAGGCTGGCCATGAGCGTATCAGTCATGTTTCCCTTAGTTTTTCAACTAGGTTGCCTGAATTTTTTTATATGTGATGGACATAGTTCCAAGGCGAGGATAAAACATTTTGTTATGGCTTTAGCTGGTTTGTAGGTGTGACTATTTCTGAAATGATAGGGATGCCTGTTTTGTGTGTTTTAGCAACAACATAAAGTTTGGGTAGTCTACGGTGATATTAAATTACTCTATATCCTGATTTGGTTTCATTTTTAATTAGTTTCCTGATCGGTTTGTTAATTTTTTGTATTTGAGTATAATTATTTTCAGCTCGTTTATTTTTTTATATGTTGGTATAGTTTAGTAGTAAACTGATATTTTTTTATCGTATAACTCTTTACTCATTATGACAATCCTACCCCCCTTGTCCTCGGGGGAAATGTCGATTTCTTTATTTTTTGATAGGTTCCTTAGTGCGTGTAAATATCTTTGAGGAAATATTTTTTCTTTGTTCATTTCATTAGTGGTAGTAATTATTCCTTGAATTAAACCTTTAGTGAGATCGCTATCTTTTTGTCTATAATTTTTTATTATTATATTATTTTATTATTATTGTATTTTTTTATTATTATTATATTTATATTACAATAATATATATTTATATTTTTATTATTATTATATTCATATTATAATATTTTATTAATATTATTATTATGTTTATTATTATATTGTTTTTATTATTTTTATATTATTTTATTATTATTATATTTATAATATAATAATATCTATTTATATTTTTATTATTATTATATTCATATTATAATATATTTTATTATTATTATTTTTTTATTATCATTATATTATTTTTATTATTACTATCTTATTTTTTTATTAATATTATTTTATTCTTATTGTATTTCATTATTATTATAGTTATATTATAATAATATATATTTATATTTTTATTATTATTATATTCATATAAAAATATTTTTTTTATTATTATTATTTTTTTATTATCATATTATTTTTTATTATTACTATCTTAATTTTAATAATATTATTTTATTCTTATTGTATTTTATTATTATTTTAGTTATATTATAATAATATATATTTATATTTTTATTATTATTATATTCATATAATATTTTTTATTATTATTATTATTTTTATTATCATTATATTATTTTTATTATTATTATCTTATTTTTATTAATATTATATTATTTTATTCTTATTGTATTTTATTATTATAATAGTTTTATTATAATAATATATATTTATATTTTTATCATTATATTCATATTATAATAGTTTATTATTATTTTTATTACCATTATCTTATTTTTTATTATTATTATATTATTTTATTATCATTATATTTTTATTATTATATTATTTTTATTAATATTATATTATTTTATTCTTATTGTATTTTATTATTATTATATTTATCTTATAATAATATATATTTATATTTTTGTTATTTTTATATTCATATTATAATATTTTTTTAATATTAATATTATTTTTATTGTTATTATATTATTTTTATTATTTTTATATTATTTTATTATTATTATATTTTATTGTATTTATATTATAATAATATATATTTATATTTTTATTATTTTTATCATATTCATATTATAATATTTTGTTATTATTATATTTTTATTATCATTATATTATTTTTATTATTATTATATTATTTTATTATTATTATTACGTCGATAAGATCACCTTTATAAACTCCGGTGATGAATTCTAAACGGGAACTGAGAATTTTCCAGCTCAGTACTGGATAGCTTTATATCTGAAACATACTCTGTTAGATCTGGTCTTTCAACACATTTCCACCTGCTATTAGGACACAGAGTTCTCTTGATATGTAAATATTATATAACATACATATCGTTATACTATATATATATATATATATATATATATATATATATATATATATATATATGACTTTTTCAAGACAAACTTGTATTAAATATATGTATGTATGTGTGTGTGTTTAAAATTTTAATACATATATATATATATATATATATATATATATATATATATATATATATATATATATATATATATGATATGTCCTGAAAGGGACATATTTGATCGAAGTAGCTAAGTTGGTTTTAGCTATTGTAACCAAGTCGTACACGGTAGCAGTAATCGACTGGTACTCGTCGTAGTTGCAGGTAATAAGTGTAGACCAATAGAATAGCCAATAGCGTAGTCCAATGTGCGTCGTCATAGACTTAAACTCTGTCGTACCTACACGTCCGTCTGTATTTATGACTGACACCAGCCAATCATATTCCAG